GGTACTGTTGTAAATCCTTTGAAATAATTTTTTCGTAAAGGCAATCTGAATATTAGAATGTTTACCGACAAAGGAGTTAGAAAAAGTTAAATTATCTTTTTCAAACATTTTCTCAAATTTATAGAAAATTGAGATTTTCGACAACCCAACTTTGACTTGAGGCTCACTGAAAATCAGAAACACGGTTAGCACCGTCAGGTTTAGGTAATTGGTACAACTCAAATGTTTTCATTCACTTCATAGAATGCAAAATGACCTTGAAGAAAAGATAGCCGGCCATTGCGGAATAATACAAAAAGCTAAACATTGCGGCTTTCAACAATGCGCTCATGTACAATATGTTTACAGTAGAGACGAATAGAAACACTTAGAGATGGACCTTTGTTTTAAGTTATGCCCTTTCACTATAGGATGTTCATGAGTGCGGTACCTTGGACCCAGGCGCACTTCATGCGATTTCAGCCGCAACGCGACTGGAATGCTCCGTTTATTAGTCATCGTGATGTATGAATATAAAGGAGATTAGCAAGAAGCCACATCATTAATCTAGGAAAACTCAGACATGCTATACATTTATGGTCTGCATTGTCGGATATAAACACGTCTGGCAAATTGCCAGACCGCAAGAGGCGACCGAATTCCCGTGAAGTATCCCGAAGCCTCAGAGAGAGTTTCCGCCAAATTCTCAGACCCCGATTTTTGTGTTATGCAGCTCTATCAATTCAAAAAATTGGAGAATAGCAGGCGTGGTTTCTTCACCTTTTCGAATCTCCTTCCAGTTTTTCTTCCTTTGAGCAAAAGCAGCCGCGGACAAAAGATGCGCGGCTCGAGCTGAGCTGGTTACACAGTAAGTCCACTCCAAACCGAGATATGGCGAAGCGGATGCAAAGTCGTAGATTAAGGCAAATGCATCTCTCTGCGCCTTTATTTTCACACATTTTGAGGGTAATGTATTGCTGTAAATTGTCAAGGCAAGGGTACAGCAAGAATGGCAAACATGGCTTCAGGATCATGGCTCAATGCGGTTCTGCAGAATGTGAGTTTCAGTGTAATTATTCGGAGAAAAAATTTCGAAGAAATTACCATAGAGCCCTATACAACAGCAGTGGATCTCATGTTGATTGTCGCGTTGTTTTTTTATGAAAGTTTCACAAAAAGGCAGAGGTGGTTTCTGACCAGGAGACGGCAGTTTCGCGCACTAGTTAGCTGTCATAAGTTGTTCGAAGGTGTCGCGGGCTCAACAAATTTTTTCTCTTCCTACTGATTATGCGAAAGCCGCCGCAAAGTTTGTAAATAGAGACTTTGGTCTTCTGTGTAAATACCTTTACAGATTATGGTCGTGCGAATCGGTTTATACCTCTTTTGATTCGTTTTTGAAAGAAGTCAGTAATTTAGTTAAAGGCAGTGTTCGGGCAAAAAGTCGATTTTGGATTTTGTACTTACTGGGGCCTATTCGCCATGCTGAATCCGAAAATCCACACTGGAAAGCGCGAAAACGGCCAAAAAGGGCTCTAACGTAGGCGTGAAATCAAAAGGGGGCGGGGTCTTCTTCACGGTAAATTCACGCTCCTAGCTTCCGGAGCGATCTTCTCGCTTCCGATTTCAGATCATGCGTTCGCATTTGATCTGTGGAGATGTCAGAACGGTTAGCGGAATCAAAAAGATCGCCCCGAAGCTGGGACCGTGAATTCACCGTGGGGAGGACCCCGCCCACTTTTGATTTCACTCCTGTGTTAGAGCCCTTTTTCGCCATTTTCGCGCTTTCCAGTGTGGATTTTCGGATTCAGCATGGCGAGTAGGCCCGGGTAAGCACAAAATCCCAAAGTCGACTTTTTGCCCGGACACTGCCTTTAAGTGATCAGCAAGCATCACGTTTGTTTGAACATGAGAAATTGTGATTCATGTCTGTATCAGCAGCGCACCGTGAAATGTAGCCTTTTTTCCAAATTCAGATGAAATAAGCTTGTGTGTCAAAGACGATAGCTCGTAGTAAACCTTCGTCATCCTAGGTCAGCTGAGGATAGCCTAATTTGAAGCTATAGCGCTTGAGCGCAGTATCAATCGATGTTTGATTTGATATGAGCAAAAAACGGAGACATCATAGTGCTGAAGCTCATTGTAGCAGAATCTGCAGTTGGTGTGGTGAAGAAAAATGCATGTGAAACTGATAATATGGAGGGAGATAAACAGATTAAGTTGCCTTCTGTCTTACAAGAATGATAATAGTGCAAAACGCAACGCGTGACAAGGGCTTAGCAAGAGGAAGAAGTTGGAAGAAAAGCGATCTTTTTGACCTTTTGGCCTTATCAAGAAGAAAAACTTATGCAATTCTGAGACACTACTGTAGTTCACGTCAGCTAAAGTGTCCTTTGAATTTGCTCTCGAGCAACCGATTTCCTTCTGCGTTCAATAGCTTTTCGATACTAAGTTTAGGTTGTCCCAAAAGAAACGTGTTTCCAAATAAATCAGATTGTTTCTTTTTTCCTAGCAGACTTAGGATATCGATAGGAAGCAAGCTCTACAAAACAACCATCAGTAATCCGCTTAAGTCGTAATCCATGTAAAATTTGGAGCAAAAATAAAAATCTTTGGGAAGAAAATTTCTACGAACCTCAAACTGGGTCATTATGCAGCAGACACACAGTGGGCTCCAAAATGCTTTTACTGGATTTTTTCGTGCTTAGAACGCGAAAAAAAAGAGTTAGTCTATAGATGGCAAACTCCGCCTCCAGCTCCTCCCACATATGTCATTGTATACTACAAGCCTTAGTAAGTATAAACTTGGACTGTTATCTCTATTTCTTTGGCAACTGAGAAATACCAAGATTAACATAAACCCAAAAAAGAGATTTTTGCATTTTCTAGGCCATTTTGATTACTCATTTTTGAGCCCCGGAAAAAATCCATCAAGTACTTTTGGGTACTACTATGTGTCTGCTGTATAATTACCAGAGGAGGTCCGTAAGATTCATGGAAAGAGATCCGATTTGTAGGTAGTTGAAAAATTTTTGATTTTTGGATCCATTTTACGTGGATCACGACTGACAATGAGACGAATCTTTGGGGTCATTTTGTGGAGCTTGCTTCGCTCTATCGAGTGGTACCCTAAGTCTGCTGGGAAAATAAAAGCAGTTTGAACTATTTAGAACTACGGTTTATTCTTGGGACAATTAGAATGCGTTCGGCCATGCTCGCATAGAATATTAAAAACGCCGAGTCCTCTATCCTTTGTTTTGCCACTAATGGAACAATATTTATTCCTCAACTCAAAGCTCTATAAAACGACAAGGATAATCTAGTTCATTTGGGAGGATAGATTTACCTATAGGCTTTAATTCACCTGAATCTATAGGGTTTCTATCATTTCGCCTTTAGATTTACACGAGAGGGTAAATTGGTTCATTAGGATTTACAGAATATTGAGGGTAAGTTGGTTTATCTTGTTTTACAGGAAAAAGAAGGTAAGTTAGTCTACATAGATTTACAGAGTTTGGAGGATAAGTTCGTCCACCTGGATTCGCAAAATTTTCAGGGTAAGTTGGTCCGCCTGGGTTTACACAGTTTGGAGGGTTAGTTGGTCCATTTGGATTCAAGTTAGTTGGTCCATTTGGATTCAACGAGTCTCTAGGATGAGTCGACCCATCTGGATTTACAAAACCTTGAGGATAAATTGGTCCGCCTGGGCTTACCCAATTTGGAGGGTTGATTGGTCCATTCGGATTCAAATAGTCTCGAGGATAAGTTGATCCGTCTAAGCTTACCCAATTTGGAGGGTTAGTTGGTCTATTTGGATTTACATAGTCTCGAGGATAGGTTGCTCCGCCTGGGTTTACACCATTTGGAGGGTTAGTTGGTCCATTTGGATTCAAAAAGTCTCGAGGAAAAGTTGATCCGCCTGGGCTTACACAATTTGGAGGGTTAATTGGTCCATTTGGATTCAAAAAGTCTCGAGGATAAGTTGATCCGTCTGGGCTTATACAATTTGGAGGGTTAAATGGTCTATTGGGATTTACATAGTCTCGAGGATAGGTTGGTCCACCTGGGTTTACACCGTTTGGAGGGTTTGTTGGTCCATTTGGATTCAAATAGTCTCGAGGAAAAGTTGCTCCGCCTGGGTTTACACCGTTTGGAGGGTTAGTTGGTCTATTTGGATTTACATAGTCCGGAGGAGAGGTTGGTCCGCCTGGGTTTACACCGTTTGGAGGGTTAGTTGGTCTATTTGGATTTACATAGTCCGGAGGATAGGTTGCTCCGCCTGGGTTTACACCGTTTGGAGGGTTAGTTGGTCCATTTGGATTTACATAGTCCGGAGGACAGGTTGGTCCGCCTGGGTTTACACCGGTCGGAGGGTTAGTTGGTCTATTTGGATTTACATAGTCCGGAGGATAGGTTGGTCCGCCTGGGCTTACACAATTTGGAGGGTTAGTTGGTCTATTTGGATTTACATAGTCCGGAGGATAGGTTGCTCCGCCTGGGTTTACACAGTTTGGAGGGTTAGTTGGTCTATTTGGATTTACATAGTCCGGAGGATAGGTTGGTCCGCCTGGGCTTAAACAATTTGGAGGGTTAGTTGGTCTATTTGGATTTACATAGTCCGGAGGATAGGTTGGTCCACTTGGGTTTACACCGTTTGGAGGGTTAGTTGGTCCATTTGGATTTACATAGTCCGGAGGATAGGTTGCTCCGCCTGGGTTTACACCGTTTGGAGGGTTAGTTGGTCCATTTGGATTTACATAGTCCGGAGGATAGGTTGCTCCGCCTGGGTTTACACCGTTTGGAGGGTTAGTTGGTCCATTTGGATTTACATAGTCCGGAGGATAGGTTGGTCCGCCTGGGCTTAAACAATTTGGAGGGTTAGTTGGTCTATTTGGATTTACATAGTCCGGAGGATAGGTTGGTCCACTTGGGTTTACATAATCTGGACGGTAAGTTGTTCCACCCGGATTCAAAGGATTTCGCGGGTGAGTTGGTCCAAGTTGATTTACAAAATTTGGAGGAAGAGCTGTTCCATTTGAAAAAAGAAAACCACATTCACTGCAAGGAACTTGATTGTATTCAGGAATTCCTGTCGCACAATTCTTCAAGCATTCTACATACCGCTCCAAGTTAGCGCGATTGTCCTGGAAAAGAATATGCGCAAGCTGTACAAGCGTTTGTTGGTGCCAACCACCAACTTACCTCGCTTACCGGTGGTGCCTCTGTGTCGAAGACTACTGCCTGAGTAGAAGCGAACACATTGAAAAAGAGTAGAACAACTTGCATTGAATGTAAGCTATGTAAAGGAAGTTTTCCCCTTTTCCTAATTCCATTTTGATGAAAAATCAGTATTCTGCTTAGATGTTGAAATTATAAATGTCAATCAATTACATTGGAATACGCCCTATTCAGCGGCAGTGGTGTATGCAGAAACACTCTAGGGAATTTTCGAATTGCTAACAAACCTCACACATTCACGGTTTGTACAAAATTTCCGCAACCGCTGCATGAGATGTATTCGTACATAGTTGTCCATTTGCCAACACACAGGGCACTGCGCTGCATACGCCCGCGAGCGCATTTCGCAGGCGGCATGCGCTGCGATAGGTGGATTTTGGATATACACATGTTCTATGACCACCTTTTATTGTTTGCTTCAATATAAGTCTGTCGCTCAGGTTCGGTCATCTTCGGTAATTATCCCCAAGGGGCGGGGGAATTTTTTTCTAGTTGACCATTCAAACGCGAGAAAGGTCTTGCGACCAAAGAAACCTATACCGTGCTCGGGAGAATCCTGCGGCACAAGAATCACTTCCCGAAATACAGTAAAGCGGATAAGCGGCTTGTTTGGAAATTCGAGAAGGATGGGGTGCTTGTACGCTGAAATGAGGAACAGACGAATTCTTGTGCTTCTATCCTGTAATTCCTCTGCAGGAACCGGAAACAGAAATAGCAGGAACTAAAGTTTCCTCTGTCTCACTTGAAGCGAGCCCGACTCGAACTGCTCAGGCCCCGCGCGACCGCCTCGCCGTACCCGGCGCCACGTCGCAAACCGATTTGCCTTATCATTTTCACATGAACCTAGGAAAACCATCAGAGACGCGTTTCATTCAATAAACGAGCCTGGGAAAGTGTCCAAAGACCGTTCGCGAACGCAGCACAAAGCCAAGGCCTGGTGTCCGCGCGAAACTCGAACCGCTCACGTCAGGCTCACTCCGATTGAGACAGAGATATTGAAACAAGAAATATGGGGATAAGGAAATGACAAGAAGTACTGGAACAATATGAGCGAATCTTCGAAAGCACCGTCCATTGAGATTCTTAACTTCCAGTCTTTGTCGTTCAGGGGCCTTCTCAGTCCCTGATTCCTAAAATCAAGAATTTGCAAAAAATCCCAGCAACTCCTGTTTTGGAGAACCCGAGGATCGGATTCCCGCGGGAACGGCGATTGGATGGGCGTGCACGGATGGGCGGGCATTACTGAGGAGCGTTGACGTCTAGTTGTCCTCTGTTCTATCCGTTGTTCCAAAGCGATTTCCTAGCTTCCGAAGCAAGATTTTGCGCCGCGATTTAGATATTGTCTTGGTGGGCAACCCTACTTTTGTACGGTGCGGAAAGCTCAAGACCCCTAAGAGAGGGCAGTTCCTTTGAATCTACAAGGAAAACACCCGAAAGAGAAAGGAAAAAACTTGGAAAAACGATCAATGCGTCTGCCATCGCTTACGATGCTAGCATTGTGTTACAATATTGAAAAGGCCGCGTTAGCGCTGCACCGGAAGCTAATTCGAAATACAGGGCCCCCACGCGAATACCGGCCTATCATGGCGCCAGCACACACGGCGTTAGAACGGCACCGGCGCGTTGCACAGAGATTTACAAGCAGAAACCTCTCTAGCTTATCAGGAAAACATCTGATAAATTAGAAGAGGTGATAAAGAAGCTTTACTTGATATCAAATTTTTGCATATAAACGTTATGGAGACAGGAGGACGTAGAGTAAACGTAAAGATAACTCCCAAAACAATTTAAGTTGCGAAACAAAGTTCAAGAATTTCGCAAATCTCGATATTTAGGGCTTTGTTCTTTTCACATGCATGTGTACGGTGAATGAACATGACTTATATGAGAATCGGAGAGTTAAATAAGAATTGTAATCAATAAAAGCGGAAATTAGAGGTGGCAAACTCCCCCTACACAATTCCAGCTCCACCCATTTCGGAGATGCACAATATATATGCACAAGTAAATGGGCACTTATTCACGGGAAATATCCACTTTGATGCATGCAATAGTTAAAACGATTCCTATAATTTCAATCTAGTACATAGAAGATTTTATGGAAACTGTCTAGACTTTTCCACAATTCTGCGAACTTCTGTTTTTACGCAGACATACAAGGCATTTCAAACGGTTAGCAGAAAAAACACTATTAAAGTGATTTCAAAAAAATCAGTTTCTCGATAACTACGGACCGTTTGATATTGAATTTATGACTCGAATTAGCATAGATAAAATAATAAAAAACCTTGATTTTTGAGTTCACAAAAAAAGACTCTGGAAGAAAGCCCTAAAATGTTTCTTCAGGTTCTCCAAATCCCAACAAACACAACTTATACCATGACGAAAGCAAATCCACGTGAAATTAGCAATTATTTTCAAAAAAGACCAAGCTACGCCTGTAAACATAGACGGAGCCGTTGCGGATTATTATTCAAGTTGAGAAGACATGTTCACTAATGGTTGTGAAAACAAACTGTAATTAGCGACTTATTCATAGTATATCCCATTCATAAGCTTTCTAGTATATGAATCTAACATGAATGTTGCCAAATATGGCTGGGGGATTACAGCAGGGAGAACTGCAAAAGGCAGAGCTTGGAAGAGAAAGAGAAGAGAAGTATTCCTAGAAAAAGAGGCGCTTTGTGAATTTTTGAAATTTCTCTAAGCTGTCTCCGGCACGCAAATCTCTACAAAACTCGAAAAGCTTGAAAAGTGTGGGGTTTTCAGTCTGTGTTTAGTTTTGGTTTCTTCGAAAATGTTCATCAAAATTCAAATTTCTGACCTTAGATACAGTTTTGACTGTTCAAACTCCTGAACACAAATCCTACAGCAGAAAAAAACTGAAATTAAAAAATAATAAGAAAGGGGATTCTCAATACTATTCATAACCATGCACACAATAAAAATCTAACCGCACAAAGAATTAAATGTTTGAATACTATAGTTATAAGCAACAAGTAAAGTTTTTTTCAAATCCAAAACAGCGAAAACTTCTTCTCTAACAAGGAAGGGTGAGAAAGTATAGAGTCAGAATAATGCATTGAGGAACTCCAAAATGCAATAATTTATCGTATTCAATAAAATGAAAATGAATTTTTAATCAAGTAAAAATGAATTTTGGATCAATTAGAAAATAATTTGAATAAAAGAGGCTGAACTTCTGATCAAGTGCAAGTGAATTAATTTTACTCGCTCATGTTGCTAGACCTCTATAAATCACCGCCAGATGTTACCAAGTTCAATGTCAATTTTGATGACATTTACATGTAAAAAATGTTTGAACTCAGCTTCTCTCGATAGAATTGAAGGCAAGTGATTTCGGATAAGCGAGTTTTATTCAAATCAATATCCAAAAGTGCTTTGCCCAGGCTTTATAATTGGAATCTAAAAAATAACTTTCGCCGTACTTTTTTCAGGCGGAAGCAATTTTCGGCGCCACTTTTTATCTTATTGTCATAATGCATGTTCCGAAACATCAGAGGCTAAAGCATAAGCAGGAAGCTTATTTTTGCATTCGAATCAAAAGCATGGACTGAACAGAACAGGACATAGAATATGTATGAACATCCTTACAACTCTGAAAAAGTAATGGTAGTAAACAAAGTAAAGTAAAAAGTGAAAGATAATCTTTAAATTGCTAAGATTTAGTAGTAAAATTTGGAAGATACGTGCCTTATTCAAGACCTTAGATTTTTTAATCCTGAAATCACGTGAAACCCTTTAAATTGCAAGAACTCGCTTTGAAAACTCCCAAAGAGCTTCTTTTATTGACATAAAAATTATTGCTCAAATCCCATTCAATTTTTTCTGAGAATCGTCCTCGCCTAAGCACTTCATAGCGTGACACGTTTTCAGATATTGGTGAAGTTCGTACATCGTTCAAAAAAAAGATTAGGAAAAGCTTTTTGAAAACGTCTGAGAATATATAGTAGGCATGATATTCTTGCAATTTTATTCAATTTAGAAACACATATGAGTTCAACGTTAAAAATCCTTAAAAGCTTATCTACAAACTAGCATTCAGATAAATATCTCTAAGCAAAGTTGAAAGTAGAGAAGAGACAAGGTTTAATTAGCTATAAATTTACATTAAAGAATTTTCAAACACTTGGTAATGACAGTAAATTCTTGAAAGAATATCAAGTGATACAAATAAACTTTGACTGTTCTTAAGAGGAGCATTCCAGCAGAATAAGTCTATACTTTGCTGTTATACCCCGACACCTATTCCGGGTTCAATGCACACATACTCAATTATTCATTATATCATATTCTCAAATGCATACGATGCGAATAAATTAGTTCGTCAAGTTCGTCATAGTGAAAGCAGAATGATAGTATTCATGCAGACAGAAGTTAAGCTACGAAGCTTTATCACCAAACACAGATGTACTTTAAACGAAAAGACTTCTAGAAGCCAAAATCGCAGAGAGAATACCTTACAAAGAAAACGACAAGCAAGAACAGATCCTTGCGGCGCTGCAGATGAGTGTATTTTAGGACAGCAGTCCTTGCAACCCAGAAGTTTTGACGAATGAAAGATCCGAAAATGTAATTTCAGTTAGTTACACCGCCTAATGTTGAGTTACGCATCTTCCACGGTGTGATTAAAGATCAAATGTCATTTTTAAAAGATGGTCATGAACTTTGTAGACTTTAAAGCTTATTTTTCCCTCCACACAAATTTTTCAACTGAGCCTCGCAATTAACTTACATTAGCCATCCCTTGACCTATCGAACACTGGGCAATTCTAGAAAATTTACAAAATCACCTTGAAGCAATTACAATGGTGAATGCAGCATTTTTTTTTGCTCAAGCTGAGAAAACTCAGAATAGTAAGTGAACTCTGCTATGCGTGTAAAATGACTTTGTGTAATTGCATTAATTTACGAGTATGCAATGGCAACTGCAAGATCAGCAAATACACAACTTTTCTACTTTCGCAATAGCTTAGTCGTGTTTTTCAAAACGATAGTGTCTTTAAAGGCAGCGTACACCC